CTGCCTGTCTGACTGACCCAAGAGGCCCAGTTACCTTTTCTATCCTCCTTACTCCTGCACCTTTGTGTGAGGTTATTGTTGTTGTTGACAGTCATTAATGACATGGTGTGAGTGACCTTGCACTGTGAAATGCCTTTTAAAGTGTCTTGGACCTCTCTTGGCTCTGTAAGCATCAGTTACACATTTTTCAAATGAAGAAACCTAAGTCTTGAGACTCAATCTGCATTGTCAGCCAGATACCCTTGTCCCTCTCGTGTCTGATTCTATAACCATACCTCTTCTCAACATCCTGGGTGTCCCACGAGAGACAGGAGAGGCCATGGCCGAGAGGACACTCCCCGCCAACATCCAGCTACCCACCTTATGGCTGCTGCCTCCAGGCAGCCGGGGTGGGGGTGGAGGGGTAAGAAGGGGGAGATGAAATGGGCCTTTGTGTTCTGTGAAGGCGGAAATCTCAAACCCGGGAAGAAAGGTGGTCCGGGTGGCAGGAGGCATGTATGTGAGCAGGGAACTTGCCTTAAGCTGCCCTTTGATTTCACAGCATGGACTGCTGCAGGGGCCTTGGCTGGGCTTGGGCTCCGAGGTCACAGACAGTGATGGTCCCAAGAGGAATGCAGGAGGTGTGGTGCATGCTGGTGCAGGCCCAGAGCCCAGGCAATGGTGTGGGGGAAACAGTCCATCTCAGCGACTCAGCCCTCAATTTTCTTGATTTGCCCAAAGGGAAAAAATGGGGGGAGGGGGCAGCATGGGTATGAGGCAGCATGAGTCCCCTTTCCTACTCCTCCCTTGCAGGAGTAGCCCCTGTTGGCCTTTGACCCAGGACCCAACCCCCCAGGATCTGATGCGGCGTGCTGTCATGCATCCGTGATCAGAATCAGGCCTCATCACCCCTCCGAGCCCCCACTTCCACATCTACAAGCTGGCTGCGAGGAGCTGGGTCTGCACCATCCACCCAAGTCTGCAGGGACCGGAAGGGGTTAAAGCACTTGTTTGCTGGGATGATTTCTCCTGGAGCTGCAGAAGGTGGGAGTGTCTTGAGGTCAGGTCTCCCCTTAGAAAAGTTAACCTCTCTCCCCAACTGGGCCGCTGATACTTCAGTGAGGGGCCGACTTGCTCTAAGGCCTTCCCATACCAATGCCTGGGGGGGGGGTGGCGGGGGCCTTAAGGGTAGGGGCCTCAAGAATGTGATGAGGACTGCCAAGACACACACACACACACACACACACACACACACACACACACACAGATTTACACTCTGGGCCTCGCCAGATCTTCATCCCCCAGCTCCCAGGTTATATCCAGGGCTGAACAGGGTCTCATCTGGGAAATTGGGCAGCCCCAGAGGCAACTCCCACTACCATCATCCTTAGCCCTTCTTCCCCGGTTCTCTGCTGGGGTAATGGGGTGGAGAGGAAGGTCTAGGCTCTCGTCTTGGCTGTGCTGGACACCCTGAGGGTACCTGACCCTGAGACTGCCTCGGAGTGTGACCTGAGCCTCGGTGGCAGGCAGGCAAGGGTTAAAAGGTATGGGCCGGCCCAGTCCCTGGCCAGGTAGGCTGGGCCATTGCCTAGTGGGAGGCGGTGTAGGCAGCTGCCACTGCACTCACTGCTCACCGCCACTACCGGAGGGAGCCGGGCCTGGTGGAGACAACTATTTTTTCAGGTACCTGGAGCCGCCCCACAGTACCTATCCGGTATTGGTGAGCACCTGGGAACATGGGCCCGCAGGTTGGGGGGAGGAGGGTATGGGGTGTGCTCGTGTTTTCTGCGGGAAAGAGCTAGATCTGCACAAGGGAGGGCCGCAGTAGATAGGTGAAGCCCAAAATGTCCAATTTCCTTTCTTGGCATGGAGCTGATCCCTTGCCAGAAATGGAGGAAGGGAAAGGATCAGGGAGAAAAGAAGCCAGAGTTCCTTTTTTCCACTCCCCCAACTTCCTCTTCCCCCTTCCTTCTCTATGGGAATAGCCTCTGCCCTCCCTTAACCTGGAGCCCAGCCTCTCAGGAAAGCCCAGAGCCCGCCTTCCATCCCCCCCCCCCCCCCCCCGCATCTATTCACCTGGGCCAGGGGGCCCTTAGGATAGCGTGAACAGTCTAGACACAGAGTTTATGAGTTTATTTGCTCCCATGGTGGCAGGATGTGGAAATGGGGGTCCTACTGAAGGTGTGGGGTGCCACCCAGGTGAGGTGTCTTGGTTGTAAACAGTCATTATAGCCAGGAATTTCTTGGTTGTGGTGTCAGAAGGGCAGACCTGAAAAACCTGCTGGGCCCGCCTCTGGGTGTGGGAGTGTTCTCAACTCTCCTTCCGCAGCCCATCTTGGGATCGCTCAGGCCCACCATGGCAAAAGCCGGGGCCTGGAGTGGGAGGATGTTGGGGAGGGGCCTGCTGGGATCCCCTTATCCTCTCTGGGTGGGCACTGGGGATCGAGCCTGCAATCCAGGGCAAATGTGCCCAGGGCAGCCATGCAGAGGCAGAGGTTTGGGAGCCAGGTGTGGGGGTGTGGGGCGTGGACCCTGTGTCTAGCCTGCCCGGTGACCCCATGACTCAGGCCTTAGCTATGTCCCCATGGTCAGGCTGACAGGGTGGAGTCGGGGTTCCTTTCTGGACCCCATGTTGACTTCCAAGATGCCGGGAGCTCTCAGGGAAGGACGGCTTGAGGCAGCTTTGTGTGAGAGGTAGGACCAGTCCTGGCCAGCGGGACCACCGGGGAGGAGTGGAGGTTTCTGTGAGGGCGAAGGAAGGTTTAGGGGGGCCTTGGAAGGGCTCCTCAAACCCAAATGGAGGCTGGGTAGAAGGACCCCCAGGAACCAAGGGGAAGAGGGGCTGGGCTGGGGCCTCCAGGAAACCCCATTGTGCTGAGCAATGTCAGACCTCAGAGGATGGCCATCTGAGTGCCTCTGCCAAGCACACGTTGCTGCCTGGGTATGCGGAAGGGCTTTGGGTTGTGATCCTTGCCCCTGGTGTTGAAGGCAGGGAACCACAGGAGGGGACGGATCCTATGGGGTGGGTAGGAGGACTGCCGAGGCTTGGCCACATCTCCCAATGTCTGGATGGGATGGGGGCTTGAACCCATGCTTGCTCAGTTGCCTGGGTCTTCCCCACACCCAGCCAGCATTTCATAATAAGCTGCTGGTAGGTTCGAGATAGATGGGGATGGGACGTCTGTGACCTCATGAGGCCCTCCCAGCTGCCTGCCACTGAGGTCAGGCCAGATGGTGGCAGGTGATGTCACCTGGCTACCCTGCTGGGGACCAAGCAGGATGTGGGAGGGAGGGAGCAAACTCCAGAGGAGGGAATGATGGCAGGGCTGATCGCCTGCCAAAGCAGGCCCTGTGGTCAGCTAGGGCAGCTTGGGCCAGAGAGAGAGGCAGGAGGCAGTCGGCTTGTCTGTAGTTGTAGACTTAACTGGTCAAAATTCCAGCAGGGTGATTTCCCTCTGCTGGGTGCGGGACAGACTGGGGTGGGCAGAGGGGCTGGAGGGGTCCTGGAGCCAAGGGGGCACTCTTCTCCCTGCCATACCAAAGCTTCAGAATAGAGTTAGGATGAGTAGTGACCTACAGATCTAGGCTCAATCCCTGGGCCAGCTGCCTTGTCACCCTTTTAAAATTAAATTAAATTAAATTTTTTTATATATTTTATATATTTTTTATTCCAGAGAGGAAGGGAGAAGAAGAGATAGAAACATCAATGATGAGGGAGAATCATTGATTGGCTGCTTCCTGCGTGCCCCCTACTGGGGATCGAGCCTGCAATCCAGGCATGTGCCCTGGGCTGGAATTGAACCCAGGACCCTTTAGTCCACAGGCCAACGCTCTATCCACTGAGCCAAACCAGCTAGAGCTTGTCATCTTTTCATTCACCCAGCAGACCCAGCTGAGCACTTGCTGTGCACACAGAATCACTCTGAGTGCCAAAAACACTGATGAAAACAGGACAGATAGCCGTAACTGGTTTGGCTCAGTGGATAGAGCATCAGCCTGTGGACTGGAGGGTCCTGGGTTCGATTCTGGCCAAGGGCATGTGCCTTGGTTGCGGGCACATCCCATGTGGGAGGTGTGCAGGAGGCGGCTGATCGATGTTTCTCTCCCATCAATGTTTCTAACTCTATCCCTCTCCCTTTCTCTATATAAAAAACCAATAAAATATATTTAAAAAGCAAAACAAAAAATAGGACAGGCACATTCCTTGTCCTCCCGAATGTATGAGGGACAGTCTCTTGTTGGACAGCAGTTGTGAGGGCATGTAATGTGGGGGCCCAACTCTAGAAGTGACATTTAAGCCCCAGCATGTGAGAACCAGGGTCTGGTGATAGGTGAAAAGAGCACTCCAGACAGCAGCCATACCCAGGGCAAAGGCCCTGCGGTCAGATCGGCTGTGACCTTATGAGGAATTGGTGGGGTTGGAGCAGCTCTGGTGATGGAGAATCTTGGACCAAAGAGGTGGCCTGGGCCCTATCCTTAGACAGAGGCAAGTTTCTTCACCTCTGTGTCTTCCCCTCCTTATCTCTAAACTGGGGGTAGTGGCCCGGTCAGTGTGGCTCAGTAGTTGAGTGTTGGTCTATGAACTAGGAGGTCTGGTTTGATTCCCAGTCAGGGCACATGCCTGGGTTGTGGGCTCCATCTCCAGTGTGGGGCGTGCAGGATTCTCTTTCCTCATTGGTTCTCTCTCACCATTGATGTTTCTATCTCTCTCCCCCTCTCCCTTCCTCTCTGACATCAATAACAATATATATATATATATATATATATATATATATATATATATATATAAAATAAATAAATAATAAACTGGGGGTGATGATAATTACAGAACTGCCATGGTTGTGAAGATTAAAGGTAATTCTTCCTGGCACGCGGGTGCTTAATGCAATGCCCATGTTGTTCTAGTTGGTTGAACCTGTGATATTAATTCCCCACCTCCAGGTGAGAATCCTGACTGTGGCCCATGGGCCTCTGAGGAGGCATAAGTCTGCCCAGCTCCCCACTTGCTGTGCTCCCACTCAATGGGAAAGAAACCAAGGTATGAGGGCCTGGTGGAGGCTAGATATTACTCAGACTCTGAGAGGGCAGGTCAGGCAGGCGGGTGGGGTCAGGGTACCCCTTCTTCCCGGGGCGTGGGAAGCTGGGTGAGGGACCACACATGTGCTTCCTTAATGGTTCCCATGCATCACTACCAGGCCTTATCCCACCATAAGCCACGGCCTCGGGCTCTTGACAACACCAGGATGGAAGTCAAAGGTCAGCTGATTACCTCTCCCACTTACAATGCCTCAGGTCGGTATCTGCTTCTCCCTCCTGCTGCCTCCTCCCCTGCTCTGAGTCACCACCTGCCCGCCCACTTGGGAAGGGTTGGTCCCTGGCCCTACAGGATGTAGGATGCCCTGGCTGTCCCACTGATCTTTGCTCCCTCTGTGTCCAGCTGCCCTGTTTGGGGAGGCCACTCCCCAGGTGAAGTCAGAGCGTCTGCGGGGACTGCTTGACCGGCAGCGGGTGCTGCAGGAGGCCCTGAGTCTGAAACTTCAGGAGCTGCGCAAAGTGTGCCTCCAAGAGGCGGTGAGAGCCTGGCCCTGAGAGTGTCGGGTGCGGGAAGGGGTGGAGAATCCAGGGCCCCTAGGTCGGCAGGCTGGGGTGGCCATTGCTGAGACATCTATCTGAGCGACCAATTCTCTGTCACCCTCTAGATCAGCTTAGATGTCCTAGAATCAATGAAATATGGCAATGGGGGACGACCCCCCCATCAGCAATTTGAAGTCCAATAAAATGCAAAACAATTGCTAGTTTCAAAAGTTGGTAATAAAACCTGGCCTGACCTGACACCGGGTGATTTAAAGTGGTTATTCCCTCTTGGCATGAATGTGCACACAGTCTGCCCGGACATAATAATGCATCAGAGCATACAGCACCAGCCCTGAAGGAGGATTCTGTAATGCACAGGATATACACCGAGTGGCCAGATTATGATGATCTCTGAACGCATACTAATCTGACCTCTCAGTATATATATTAGAGGCCCAGTGCATGAATTCGTGCATGGGTGGGGTCCAGCCAGCCTGGCCAGGGGGAGGGGACATGTGTGGTTGGCCAGCCTGCCTGCTGGTCGAACTCCTGGTCGAGGGGACAATTTGCATATGAGCCTTTTATTACATAGGATAGACACTGAGTGGCCAGATTAGTATGCGTTCAGAGATCATCATCATCTGGCCACTCAGTGTAGATTGTGTGTCTTTGTTGTTGTTGTTGCTGTTGATGCTCACCTGAAGATATTTTCTCCATTGATTTTTTTTGAGAGAGTGAAAGGGAAAGAAGGGGTGGGAGAGAGAGAGAGAGAGAGAGAGAGAGAGAGAGAGAGAGAGAGAGAGAGAGAGAGATTGGTTCCTGGCCAGGGCCCAGGCTGGGGATCAAACCTGCAACCCAGGTACATGCCCTTGACCAGGAATTGAGTCCTAGACCCTTCTGTGTGTGGGTTGACGCTCTAACCACTGAGCACTTGGCCAGGGCTAGACTGTGTGTCTTCATAAAAACTCAGAAATTCTGGATTCCAAAGCAAGTCTCTCTGCCTCCCATGCCACTGCCCGGGATTTGGGTCAAGGGGTGAGAGTCCAGGCTGTGCACCTGCCTGGAGGAGAATTGGGAGGAGGAAGAGAAATAACAGGCAAGCGATGCTGAGTAGGACTGGGCTCCTAGTAGGACTCCTGTAGCTTCTGGAGTCCTGACTGCTTTGCCCCCTCCCCCCAACTAACCCTTGATTGTCTCTGCCCCCTGCTGCCTGCCCCCTCAGGAGCTAACTGGCCAGCTGCCCCCCGAGTGCCCGCTGGAGCCTGGCGAACGGCCGCAGTTGGTCCGACGGCGGCCCCCTGCTGCCCGAGCTTACCCTCCACCTCCCCCCAACCCAGTGCATCACTCCCTGGGCCCTGGTCAGGTGAGCAGATGGCCAGGGGGACAGGTTGGGGGTGAGACAGATACAGAGGAGGAGGAGGGGCCTGGGCCAGGAGTAGGGTTGCGTCCAGGGGAAGTAGAGGCCAGAATGAAAAGGGACGGGCCCTGAACAGGCGGTGGGTTCCTGGTCTGAGAGAGGATGCTGGTCCCCACCGGTGGGGAAGAGCCTCTTAGCCTTTGGAAGAACAGACCCCGCCCCCAGTGTAGATGGGCTCTGCCACCGCCCGCTTCCTGTGCTTGGCATTTTCCAACGTTTGGTTGTATCCCACCATCCCGGTGGGCCCGCAGGAGCTGGCCCTCGAGGCCCTGGAGCGCGAGGTGTCGGTGCAGCAGCAGATCGCGGCGGCCGCCCGCCGCCTGGCCCTGGCCCCTGAGCTGAGCGCCGAGCAGCGGCGGCGCCGGCGCCAGGTCCAGGCCGATGCTCTCCGGAGGCTGCATGAGCTGGAGGAGCAGCTCGGGGACTTCCGAGTCCACCTCGGTCTCCCCGTGCTCCCGCTGTCCACTGGGGCAGTCCTCGCAGCCCAGGGTGTCTGCCTGGGCACACGCCTCACTCAGCTCAGCCAAGGTGAGCCAGGCTCTGGACACCTGCCCAGGGGAAGCAGGGGAATGGGCATTGACTAGCGGGCATGTGTGTGTGTGTGTGTGTGTGTGTGTGTGTTGGGCGGGGGGGACAGCTAGGGAAAGGTGGGTGCCAGGCAGACCTGAGGGACCTGACCAGTGAGAGGAGTGCTGGGAATCTGGCTCTGGGCAGGGGGATGGGGACTGGGAACTGATCCATAGGCCCCAGGAAAGTTTGGAGCCAAGACTCTGGTGGCCTGGGATTGAGGTAAAGATGGGTTCTTGGGGAGGGTGCAGGGGGGTGTGGAGACCGGCCAGTGGGATAAGAGGGTGGCCCCGGGCCTGGCATTGACGGGCCCGGTCTCCCCCTTCTCGCCTGTAGAGGATGTAGTTCTCCATTCAGAGAGCAGCTCCCTCTCAGAGTCTGGGGCCAGCCATGATAACGGTGAGGACCCCCTCCCCTAAACCCTCCCCCCTTTCATGTTCAGCTCCACCCCTTCGTCTCCAGCTTCTCCTTCGCCATGCCCCATCCTCCAGCGGGGCTCCCCTCTACACTGTCAGCCTGCCCAGCCCTGCCCAGCCCTCCTCCCCTCCTGCCTCCCCAGCCCCTGCCTGTTGCTTCACACACAGCCTGTCATTGACTTCCCCCCACTTTCTTTCTTCCACTCAGAGGATCCTCGTAGCTGCTTCCCTCTGGCAGAGCGCCCCTCACCGCCCAAGACCTGGGACCAGCTGCGGGCGGTATCTGGGGGCAGCCCTGAGCGGCGGACCCCATGGAAACCACCCCAGTCGGATCTCTATGGCGACCTGAAGAGCCGAAGGAACTCTGTGGCCAGCCCGACCAGGTGAGGAGTAGGGACCTGAGCCTGGGCTGGCGGGATGGCCTGCTGGCGGAATCAGTCTCTCATGTGGACCCTTACCTGGGCTTGCCCGTCTCTGTCTAGCCCCACACGCTCGCTGCCCAGGAGTGCCTCCAGTTTTGAGGGGCGAAGTGTGCCTGCCACCCCTGTCCTCACTCGGGGCGCTGGCCCCCAGCTCTGCAAGTAAGGGGGCTGCGGGGGTGGGGTTGAGGACCAGAAGAGGGAACCATTAGCTTAAGTGGGAGAGCATTCCCAGAGGGTGTGGGACACGAGAGGCTGGGCTTTGAAAGGGGAATGGGAATTGCTTGGTAGAGAAAAAGGGGGGGAGGATTTGAGGGCAGAAGTCCCGGCGATTGTGTGTGGGCTTTTTTCCTGTATTTTGGACAAGTCATTTCCTGCCTGGCCAGGGTCGCTCAGTGGATTGAGTGTTGTCCTATAGACTGGGAGGTCATTGGTTCGATTCCCAGTCAGGACACATGCCCAGGTTTCTGGTCTTGATCCCCAGTAGGGGGCGTACAGGAGGCAGTGGATCAATGTTTCTATATCTCCCTCTCCCTTCCTCTCTCTAAAATCAATTTTAAAAAAACATATCATTTCCCATCTCTGAATCTTGGTCTCCTCATTTGTGAAATGGGAATACTAATATCTGCCTTTGATGTGGGCATACTAAATTCTGGTTAACTTGTGCTGAGTACTGAGTGTCTGCTAGGGATCAGTGGCAACTCATTTCATCACCACAAGGTCTCTATGAGGAAGTGCTATTGTTATTCTCATTTTATAGATGAGGAAACTGAGGCACAGAGAAGCTAGGTGACTTGTGAGCAAACCCAAGGCCTGGTATTTCAACCCAAAATTTGACTCTACAGTCCGTGCTTTTAACCACTGTCCTCTACCAGTTCTTAAGTTCCCAGTGCTTGCTTTTCTCAGGCTGTGAACAAAGTAAAATCCGGGTCCTCGTGGTACTTGCATGCGGTGACGGTGGTTAGTGGGCTGATAGTTTTGGGTGGTTCATACCCATGGGGCGGGGAGAGCAGAGAATTTAGGAAGGGCCTGGAAGTTGAGGCCTGAGGATTAGTACCTCATTGTGCAGGAAGTGGGGAGCCATGAGAATCGTCTTAGCAAGGGGTGCTGGTTAGATGTGCTCGGAAGAGCCCTTGTCTGGGTGCCCCCTGCTAGCATTTCCTCTCTAGCCCTGCACGCACAGCATCTCCCTTGGAGCCAACAGCCCTGGGCTCCCATACATTTTTAAAAAATACATTTTTTTGAGTTTTTACAGAGAGGAAGGGAGAGGGACAGAGTTAGAAACATCAGTGAGAGAGAAACATCGATCAGCTGCCTCCTGCACACCCCCTACTGGGGATGTGCCCGCAACCAAGGTACATGCCCTTGACAGGAATCGAACCTGTAACCCGTGAGTCTACAAGCCGACGCTCTACCACTGAGCCAAACCGGTTTTGGCAGGGCCCCCTACATTTTTAATTCCTCTTCCTTCAGTCTGGGACACAATCTCCTTTGCCCTTTACATGCCTCTATCGAACACCTCTATACACACAATTTCTAGTCCAGGGTCCATTGGGGGATGGAGAAGTGATGGTTCAGAGAGACACATGATACAGACGTAGAGCGCTCAGCCCATCTGCCTATGTCTGACCTCCCTCCCACCCGCCTTCCTTCTCCCCCAGACCCGAAGGCCTCCATTCCCGCCAGTGGTCTGGCAGCCAGGACTCCCAGATGGGCTTCCCCCGGGTGGACCCGGCCTCGGACCACCGCGCCTCGCTCTTCGCAGCTCGCACCCGCCGCAGCAACAGCTCTGAGGCCCTGCTAGTGGACAGGGCAGCTGCGGGGGGAGCTGGCTCCCCGCCTGTGCCTCTGGCTCCCCCTGCCCCCGGTCCCCCAGTCTGCAAGAGCAGCGAGGTGCTGTATGAGCGCCCCCAGCCAGTCCCTGCCTTCTCTTCCCGCACAGCTGGCCCCCCAGACCCTCCCCGGGCTGCCCGGCCGAGCTCAGCTGCCCCTGCCTCCCGGGGGGCCCCCTGGCTGCCCCCTGTGTGCGGGGACTTCCTCTTGGACTACTCCCTGGACCGGGGCCTGCCCCGAGGCTTTGGGGGGCCGGGCTGGGGGGAGCTGCTGCCTGCGGCTGAGGTCCCAGGACCCTTCTCCCGCCGGGACGGGCTCCTCGCCATGTTCCCAGGCCCGCCACCCGTGTATGCAGCTGATGGCAGCAGCCCCCTCCTCCGCAGCAAGGACCCCCACCCCCGGGCCGCCCGCTCCAAGCCCTGTGGCCTGCCCCTGGAGGCCGCAGAGGGCCCAGAGGGGCATCCCAACCCCCTGCTGTGGATGCCCCCACCCACCCGTGTCCCTCCAGCTGGCGAGCGCAGCGGCCACAAGAACCTTGCCCTGGAGGGGCTGCGGGAATGGTACATCCGGAACTCGGGACTGGCCGCGGGGCCCCAGCGCCGGCCTGTACTGGCCCACATGGGCCCGCAGCACCCGCCCTTCCTGCACGCCCGCTGCTATGAGGTGGGCCAGGCGCTGTACGGGGCCCCCAGCCAAGCTCCCCTCCCGCATTCCAGGAGTTTCACGGCGCCCCCTGTCTCCGGCAGGTATGGGGGGGGCTTTTACTGAGGGGGAGGGGGTCTCTCCAGGTAGAGGGCGAAGGTCTCCAGGCTGAGGGGGTGAGCGCCAATGACCTGGACCATGAGTGCTAGCTTCATTCAGCCTTAGCACCGGGTCTCGGGCCCTGCCTGACCTATATTAGTCCTTGGGGTCTCGGTGGAGGGGTGTCTTGGGCCCCAGAAGCAGCGGTTCCTTGCCAAGCTATAGCAGAACGTTAATATTCTAACAAGCGGTGCATGTCAGCTGGAGATGGACCTTGGAACCAGGGTGCTGGGAGGAAGGGACATCCTGTGCCCTTGCCTTTCTCTTCCTCTTGTAACCACGCCCCCTGCTTGCGAGCCTCAAGGTGCTGTCCTGTGCCTCGTCCGCCTCTTTAATGAGCCTCTTTCCTCTCTTTCTGTGTCTTGTCCGTCTTCTCCTCTCTCCTCTGTCTTCCCACCCTGTCCTCCGGATTCCTGCTACCCCTTGCAAAGATACTACGCGGACTTCCTGTATCCCCCGGAGCTGAGCGCTCGTTTAAGTGACCTGACGCTAGAGGGGGAGCAGTCCTCCGCTTCTGACCCTCAGACCCCGGGCACACTGGTCTGACCCCTTCTGATACGCTCCTCACTGGCCTGGGCGTGACTCCGGTCTGGGGAGCACATGCTGACCTCGCTGAGCCCTGGGGTGCGGTGGCTCTGAGTCCTGGGCAGGGGGCGCCCACCTGATCTTCCAAGGCCCCCCGCAGGCTCCCTGTGGACCCCAAAAGGTGTCTGACACCCCACTTCTCCTCTCACACTGTGCTGAGAACTGGGGGCCCTCAGCCAGCTTCAAAGTGGGGGATGGTGTAACGGGGGCTCCGAGCCCCTCCCTCCATTTGTTTACAGTTGTGATTTAGGTTTTCACTGTCTTTCCCCCCGACACTAGACGTTTTATAAAAGGGAAACTGTGATCTTGTCTGGTTGGGTTCATTCCTGTCCCTTGCCCAGCCTGTTCCGTTCAGGAACCCCTTCCATGAAATGGACCGTATAGTCACATGGCCCTGTTTGGGGCAGCTGGGGACCCCGGTGTGAACAGAACTCTCTGCCATCCCCCACCAGGGTAGTTCTTGGGGAGGTGGGCTCTCTGCCCACATTTGGTGGGGGGCTTGGGTTCATCTTCCCACCCTAGAGGTGCGGGAAGGAGCCCCCGACCCTGTCTGCCTGTCTGTGCCCACTTCCTCCGCCCCCAGGGTGAGATGACCTGGCCTTTGGTGGCCTCTACCCTATCCCCACTCTGGGGGCCCCACAGGAGGGTCCAAGGACAGAACCAGCAGGTGTGCTGTGTCCTGGGATGCTTCCGTGGTGGAACCTGGCACCTGAGAGATGGATGCCAGTACAATCCTCAGGTGACGCCAGGCCACAGGCCGCGTCACATCTTCCTTGACTTTCCTCCCATCCACCACTTTTTAAACAAATGTACACAAGCTGTGTTTTCTATGATACCTGTCTGTGACTTTCCGGAGCTGGGGGGGGGGGGGTGTCCCCGTACCCTCTTTACCTGGTGTTAAAACTTTTCTTTTTGTATCAACCGACCTGGGCCCAAGACACTACCCACACTGGAAGAGGATTTTTAGAATAAATGTGTAAACCGAACCCGTGTGTTGCTCTTCCCCTGCCTTGCCTTGGGGCCCACACCCAGAGTGAAGACCAGATATGTTTCTATAACACCATGTCATGAAAAACAGAACACCATGGAAGCAGCCTGGGATCATGTCAGGTGCTTTGTCTTTACTGGTTTTGCGATGTGGGGCAACTTCTTTGCCTGTCTGTGGTCAGATGGCTAGCCAACCCTGAACCAGAGCCCTTGGTAATACAAATGAAAACGGGAGCACTGCGTGCACCCAACTACCTGTGTGTTAATTGCTCGATTAACAAGTTCCCGGAAGGAGAGATCACCCCATCCGCCCACATATTTGACAGAGACCGACCCAAATCATAAAGAATCTAGCAGAATCCAAAAGCAGAGGCCACTTCGATAGGCCCAATTGGCATGAGCGATGTAACAGCTTTTATTGTTGCAACAATACTGATATATATGCCTCATTCCGGGTCAGGGCTACCCCCACCCCACCGTCCTCACCACTGTGGAACTTGTGTATGTGTGTACATGGGGGAGGCAGAATCCCTAAGCAGAGCTGAAGGGAGGCAAATGGGACTGGTGAGTGTTGGGGTCACTGGGGACCAAGGGTTCAATAGGATCAGGATACCTGACTTCCACCCAGGGGGGACTGAGAATACTTGATTTGGCAATGCCCTGTTCTGGGTGCAAAGCTGGGGTGTGGTCTGGAAAAGCCTTGATCTAAGACTCAAGATTTGAGAATGTCTCAGGCCCACACCCCAGCTTTGGGACTGAGCATGGCAGACAAGTGGGTCCCTGGTTAGGTTTGTGGGAGTCTCTCCATCCAGAAGTTGATATTGACCATGGATACTCGGATCTCTAAGCCCCACTTCAGGGCTGGATGTGAGTGGCTGTGTCCCAAGTTCCCTAGGCAAACGGGCACTGGGTATGAGGGATATCCGCTCTGGATCTAGGGGTGGGGGTGGGGGGAAGCATTATAGATGCCCTGCTTTTTTACCTGGGCAAGGGGCTCCTAGCTTAAGGACTGGGAAAAGGCTCTACATCCCGGTTATGGGTTGGGCTTGGGGTCCTCCAGGTATAGGGTACTGATCCCAAGGCCCTAGGATCCAGCCTCCTGCTCTTGTCCCAGCGCCTCCAGTAGCAGCCCCATTGGTGTCCGCTTGAGGCCAATGCTCTCGATCTTGTTCTCTATCTTGTTCTTGAGGTTGCGCAGGCGCAGTGAGGCGTGCACCAGGATCACTGTGGGCAATAGAAGGGTCAGTGGACAGGCCACCTCTGATCCTGAAACCGTGGCTGAGGAACACTTTGTAAACAGGGTAGTGGCCTGGGGGTGGGGGTGGGGGTAACCGAGACGAGGCTGGTGGAAGGCACTTAAGAGTCATTCCCCGAAGAGAACATGGCCAAGGAAGGTGCTTTGCAAAGGGGTGTGGCCATGCCCGCCGAGTCTCCCAACCCCCTCTCCTCCCCCCAAGAACCAGGGCAGGGCCGGTGCCACGCGCACGCGCTGGCCCTGTTCCCGGGCATCCGGGTAGGGGAGACTCACGGAGGACTGGCCCGGCGATGCTGAGCAGGAAGGTGCCAGCGCCGCCCACCGCCCAGAGAACCAGGAGGCCGACGGCGAGCACGGCGGCCAGGCAGGCGGCGGGGTGACTGCGGCGGCAGCGGCGCACGGCCGCGCGGCTCTCAGCCGCCCACACCAGCACCCCGAGGGCCACCGCCACCACCAGCGCGCTTAGGAGGGTGTGCAGCGGCCGCAAGTACCTGCGGGGACAACAGAACTAACTAGTCAGCCAGCCGGGAGAGGGCCCCCGGCCTCCAAGCCTCCCAGACCACCGTCCGCGATCCCAGGTCCTCAGAGCTTTGGCCCCCGCCCGGCCCGGCAAGCCGGAGAATTACTCTGGCTAGCCCCGTCTGCAAGTCCGCCCTCCGGGACTTCCGACTCCCAGCAGCCCGGGCCCCTTTCTTTTCAATCCCACAGCCCCATCTTTTTAGCTCCAGGCGCTCCCATCCAGATAGCTCCTTCCTGCTGTCCCTCCAGGGCCCCTCCGGTACTCCACCCCATCCTGCCCCCAAACCCTTGCAGATTTCCCCCCCAGGCTCTGTGTCCACACATTTCCCTCTTCCAAGGCCCTGGGTCCTTACAGGACTCTTTTCCAGGATTTAGGTTCTACTCTCATCTCACATCCCCACCCAAGTCCCTCCTCCAGGCTTCCCACCCGGTCTGATCTCAGGCCTTGGCTCCTGGATCCTCCCTCTCGGCCCAAATTCCCCAAGTACCTGCGCCTACAGGGATCCCTGTCCCTGCCCTAAGGCCTCCAGCCTAGTCACTCGGAGCCCCAGCACCCCAGACACACTCACGTCCCACAGTAAAGTCCTCCTTATCTTCAGGTCCACCTTCCAGGCGTTTCCCCTGCGGTTCCACATTCTCCGTCCTCCCCAGGTCTTCCTTCCAGTCCCACTAACCCCTCCGGCTAGGCGGTAACCAGCCCAGGGCCTCCAGATAACTTAGGTCCCACTCCCTCCAAGACCCCATTCTCCAGGCCCTCAGGGCTTCTATCTCCGCAGAAGTTGCCCTTCCGAGCCTGGCAGCCACCCCGCCCAGGCTACCCTTCCCGGTTCTCACAATCCCGCGGGCCAACCCTCCACGCCCTGCGGGCGTCCCCGGCCAACTGGCGCCTCCCTCCCTCCCTCACCCAGCCAGGGCAAGACCGAAGCCGAAGCAGACAAGGTAGTTGGTTTGGTAGTAGAGGAGGTTGTTGATGACACGGTGGCACCATCGCTGCGGGTCGCATGGATCCGGGGCCGCTAGACGCGCCGAACCCAGAACGAAGTCATCCAGGGCGCGTAGCGGTGGCAGCCGCACCTCCGACATCCTGCTAGTCGATGTAGCTGGACCAGCCCGGGGAGCAGCCGAACTACAACACCCGTTACGCCCCGCGCCACCGCGGCGGACACCGGGAAATGGAGTCTGGGCGGGGCTCCTACCCTATCCACCCAGGTGGACGGCGCAGGCGCACAACACGTGACCGGAAATGCAAACGCCAAAACCGGAACTGCCGTGAAACTTAAATATTGGCAGCGTAACATGGCATTCCCATCCGCTCCCAGGTGGGGGCGCCAAGGGGCCCTTTTCTGGGAGGTACCAGCAGCACAACCGTAGCCAGACATCCGGACTAAGCAGGGGTGCGGGCAGGAATGGTCAGAAGGACCCGAGCAGGATCCCACCTCCTTCCTGTCCAAGTAGGTCACACCTTTCCTGGACACTTCTGCAGTGTCTTTCAGCCTCATCTCCTCCAGGCCCCACCCCCGAGGTCCAGCCATAAATACTATTAATTTTTATTCAAATTCATCATATCATTGATTGGCTCTTTCTGGGAAAAAATTTTATCCCCACAGGTTGAATCAGGGCACTTCCTCTGGGGACCTAGTCCTCTTCTCCAGGCTCGGAGCCCCAGGGCATCTGCTGCCCCTCTGGGTCTCTGGCCTGGCCGTGGGCACACAGTCCTTAAGGACACCACCAAGAAGTGCGTGGGAGAAATGAGCTGTTTAGGCATTGCTCTGAGGAGTGGAAAGTGTGCACCTGCCCCATTAGTGCTCGCTGGCTGGTGGCTTTCAGCACTCCCACTCCCATAAATGCTTTGCACTTTGCCACTGCAGGTCCCTAGCACAACCCACGGGGTCCTTAAAAGTCATCATCATCACAGATGTCAAGGTACACATCGAAAGCCTCTCTGTTGCAGTTTCCATCAGGAGTGAAGACATATTTGTGGAAGGTCCCATCTACACAGATGGCTGGAGGAGGGGGGGGGGGAAGATCAGTAAAAAAGTTAGAGGCTGCCAAAGCCACACACTTGAATACAGGCATCCCCTGGCTTACAAATCTCCTTCCAGGCTTTTGCCCGCATGCCACTCCCCTCACCGATAATGGGGTTGAACCACCCGTTCTAGCTTCTTTAGGCTTCCTAGTCCCTAAAATTCTTCCAGGTCCAACCAGCAGGCCTTTGCCCATGCAATAACCCCCGGTCAAGGGTTCGTCCCACTTACCGATGACGGAGTTGACATTCTTGGAAGTGTTGCGACCGAAGGCGCAGATGCAGGCCGACTCAGCAGGCACAGTGAAACTCGCCAGGCTCCACTGAGAGTCCACGTATTGTCCAATCATAGGCCCGACTTTGCCCACTCGAGCTAGCCTGCAGGCAGTGCTGACTAAGCCCAGGTATGGTACATGGGCAGGGGTATGGGTACATGGTGGGGTGGGGAAGGGGGAGGGGGTACTCACGCAGAACGGCGGTTGAGGCGGGTATCCTTGAGGGCAAAGATGTGGACCGTGCCCTTATCACTGGAAGCACACAGGAAGGAAGAGTCGTGGCTGAAGTTGATGCTGGAAGATAAACCAGCAATTATGCCTACCTGTCATGTGGTGTGGGGTCGCTGGCCCACCGTGTATTCCCTGTGCTCACCAGTAGAGGGTGGCAGGGTCGGTGCCTCGGCGGAGTTCCACCAGCTTTTCCTTGGACTGTGTGTCAAAAAGGCGAATAAGGGTGCCCTTCTGGGAGGCCGAGGCCACTACAGTGCCCGGCTGGTTCAGAGACACACAGGCCACGTCGCTCTGATGTGCGTTGATGGTAAATGGCGCAGACGAAGTGCCTGGCTTTGTGCTTGCCAGGTCCTGTGATGGGAAGGAGCAGTTGGTGCTTGGGGCAGCATGGAGGGAAGGGTCCCAGAGTCTACAGGGAGAACTAGTCTACCCACCTCCTCACTTCTGCCCACTGGATAACTCACCACAAGTTGCAGACTCCCGCACTTGTGTCCTGGGAACACGAGCAGCTGTTTCTCCAGGCTGGGGCAGAGGTCACAGATACCTAGGGTGTGAGGATGAAGTAGGGGGAGGGGCTGGTGAAGGGGAGGCAGTGGCCAGGCAGGGTCTCAGAATGGACAGAGCTGGATAAGGGCTGGACTTGAACCTTCCATGATACTTGTTACCTACAGAACCCTCAGGGTGCTGTCCTCAGCTGTGGCCCCACCAAATCGCCTTCTTCCCTACGCAGCTGGGGCAGCCCCAGGATCCCTGACTCACCCACCCACACGCTTACTAGGTATGTTTGCTCTGCCATCTGGAGCACATGAGTGGGGCAGGGCTAAGGGTTGGGAAAGAGAACTGGCTAAGGCCATGGTCGGCAAACTGTGGCTCTCAAGCCACATGCGGCTCCTTGGCCCCTTGAGTGTGGCTCTTCCACAAAAATACCACAGCCTGGGCGAGTCTATGTTGAAGAAGTGGCGTTAGAAGAAGTTTAAGTTTAAAAAATGTGGCTCTCAAGAGAAATTTCAATCGTCGTGCTGTTGATATTTGGCTCTGTGGACTGATGAGTTTGCCGACCACTGGGCTAAGGGATGGGAAGATGAATAGATGGGGAGTACAGGGGTTGGCAACACAAGGAGGTTTACAGCTGCACTGTGAGATTCTGTTGAGGAATCCTGTCTCTTGTAATTATCAGAACTTGCATGTCTTTTCTCATGTGAACAACGGTAAACCTACTTTTGCCCACCCTGTATGTGCCTCCCAGGCCATCTGAGTATCTCTCTGCGCAAAGACTCTCCATGCCTCCCCCCCACCCCGCTTCTCTCTGTGTACCCCTCCCGTGTTCTCTTCATTTCTTCCCCTCCACCTCTTCCTCTGCCTCCAGCCCTTACTCCTGTATATCTGGCTCTTACCCTTTGGGTTGTCCCGGGTGTCGAACTCAAACAGCTTTCGGGGATTGTCAGGGAAGGAGTACACATAGATGCGGTTCCTCAGCACAATCACAATTCTGTAGGTGTCACATAACATACAACAGCCATGAGGGAGGGCAGATGTTCAGGCAGAACTAACCCTCTCACCTGCTACGGGGACCTCCTACCTCCCTCCCCCACCCCCAGTCCTCCTCAGGCTCACTTGTCATGGCGCATGCGCACAGCCAGCACTGCCTTGGTGAAGGTGAACTCCAGCACCAGCTTATCCTTGGAGTCCTTGCCCTCCCGGGCATCATCCCAGATGAGCACTGCTGGGAAGTTGGGTGCATTGTGGGGGCCAAGGTTTAAGCTGAGGGAAAGCCCTGCTGATACAAAACACACCCTATTCCCCATGGGACTTCCACCCACTGTTTAACCTTTCACTAACATCCCATATGAGCCTCACACAGCATGAGAACTGTGAGGAAACTGAGGCTTACACCATTCACAAGTGAGGAAACTGAGGCTTGAAGGGATTGAGTATTCAGGGCCCATCAGCAAGCAGGCAGGGACTTAATCCTGTCACTAATCCTGCCTAGTCCCTAGACTCTCTGACTTACCTAGGGCAAGTCTCTTGCCAGTCCCAATAAGATCAACAAAAAAACCTTCCGGTAGGGGGCATGTGGGAGGCAGCTGATCAATGATGTTTCTCCCTCATTGATATTTCTATCTATCCCTCTTTTGTCCCTCTCTCTAAAAATAAATAAAAACATATACATAAAAAATTGTGTTAAACCTATTGGTTAGATAGGTTGTTCAATCTCTCTGGTCCTCAGTTTCCTCATCTGTAGAAATGGGATATGGATACTTCCTACCATATAGAGTTAGGGTGAGGGTTAAATGAGTTAATACACATAAAGTGCTTGGAACAGTACCAGACTCACAGATACCCTATAGGTAAAGACATGGTATACAGGAGACATTCAATTAATGTTTGTTAAATGAAGACAAAACATCAAGCTTCTTAAACTATAAGAGTCATGACTTCTAAGCTGTAGGCCTCACTGTTAGACTTTCAGGTGCTCTGACGTCTTCATCTTCAAGTGCCTTGGGGTTCCTGGAGGGGGCCATGATTCCAGGGAATCTGGGCCAAGGGCAGATGAGATAAGGGCACTTACCCGAGATCTCTGAGAACTTGGGACTGCTACCACCGCCCACCAGGGCCAGCAGGTTGGAGCGGTACAGCATTTCCACCAGGCCCATGCTGCCCACCTGCTCATGGTCTGGACAAGGACCAGGGTGTCAGCAAGGGTGAAAGCTAATGCCCAGCCCTTCTACCCACTGCCTCTTTCCCACCGATGGCTCACCCAGGTGTCCCTTCTCCATCAATGGCTCCACGTTGTAGATGCGTACGCCGGTCTCCATGGCACAGCAAAAGCAGCCTGAGGAATAGGAGGAATCCAGGCTGCCTCAGAGGATGCCCACGTGGGAAGCTAGGACAGGCTGCTTAACACCCACCTCTAACCATTCTATCCCTCTTTCCCTCCCTCCCTCCCACAAGGTTACAGGTACGAGTCTCTCACTTTGGTCTTGGTTGAAACGCAGGCTGGTCACCCCTCGAAGTGGTTGCTGAGTCATGATTCAGGAATGCTTCCCTAGACACAAATGGGGATAGGGTTGCAAAGAGTCCTGGGGTCTGCCCTCCAAGTCCTAGAACTCTTTTTCCCTAATTGATTTTTTTCCTTTCTCCTCCCATTCTACCAACTAACTACAGCACCACTGCAAAGAAGATAAGAACAGGGCAGAGAGTCATGGGGTCTCCACTCTAAGCTTCCAAGACCCCAAACAACATAGCCAGGCACCTCTCACATTTGGCTACCCTGACCTAAATCCTATGCCTCCTTCTTATTCTCCAGCCCTCACAAGCTTCTTGTCAGAAAGTAATAAAGTAATTTCCGAGAATCCAGGATGGCTGCACAGGTAAACACCTAGCTGTAGCCGCGCACAACAATTTCAATAAAATACAACCAAAATATAAAATGGACATTACCCAGAATTACAGGAAAGTCGACTGACTGGAAATTCTACAACGAGAAGCAAGGAAAAAACCAGAAGAAAGAGCAGAGGAGCTGTAAAAACCTAAGGTAAGGAGACACGTGGCGC